CGACGGGAGGGTGAGAGCGCGGGAGGGGCTCAAGCCCGGCGGAAGGGGGGGCTGGGGGCGGGACCGGAAGAGGAAGTGGGTACTTCCGTCCGCCTGTCCAGCCTGGGGGGCCAACTCGGAGCAGCCCTGCCTGGGCTCCTCCCTAGAAAATACTTGAGTCTACTTTAGCGCCGAGGGCCACGCTTTGGGCCCCACCCTGCGTGCCTCTGAGGACGTGCAGAGTGCATTTACACTTCTCAAGGGTCTAAGATCACAGCTGGCTTTCTCGGCCGAAAGGGTGCCTCTGAGCATGTGCAGAGGACGATTGAAAAGCGCTTTTCGGTAGTACTGGACCCGAAGGGTGCTCCTGAGCCCCTGCAGAGGACTTCTTAAAGAAACTTCCTCAGCTGTAGTAAGGGCCCAGATGGCTTGCTGGGCCTCAAGTGAAAATCTAACGTAGGTTGGAGGCTCAAGGTGGGGTGGGGGAAGAAGATGGGGGCCAAGGCAACCAAAGGAAGATTTTTTTTTTAGGAATCACTGAATTCCAGCAGACGCAAGAGAACAGGGTCAGTTCTGTGCAGAGCCATAATCTTCAGTTAGACACGCCGAGACACGCGTGCTGTGTCCTCCCCACATGCCAAGCCGGGCAGAGTAGCCCTGCTTGTGTCACATCCTTGGCATGGCTTGTACGAACCCTGGCTTGCTTCTGCAGCTTAGCGCGTTGTGGGGACCCAGCCTGTTTGGTTAGCTTGTGGTGGAATCAGTAATCAGGCTAAGTGCGTGGTGTGAACAGAGACATAGTTCTCCCTCAGGTTGCCCTACCTCACAGGGTCATTGTGACCATAGAAGGGGGCAGGGGCCATACAGATTTCGTTTCCGTGGGAGAAACTTCATAAGGCTTGCCAGGGGGCTCTCCTTACAATTTGTGATCCTGCTGCTCCGAGTTGGTTAGAATTATAACTTTGGGCCTTGCTAATCGACGTGGATTCTCAGACTGAGGTCACACATTGCATTAAGCAGTAATGCGACTTACCTGGTTGCTGCGACCCATCATGGCTGGTAAATTATAGACTATTGCTTAATGTGGCTTGTGAATGCAACCATTTGTAACTCACCCAATAAGCCACAATGCAGCACAGCGTGGTTTAGTGTGTTGTATGAGCCTGGCCTGACGGTTGTCATCTCAACATCTGGAGGGCACCAGGTTAGAGGGACTTGATCTAGTAAACAGAGAATCCCAGATTCTTGTCCTTGTTTTAAAAAATGGAAGCAGTATGGGTTAAATAAAGCTTAATGGCATTTCTGGTTTCTTGTGGATATGGTGCCGTTTTCATAGATGATTTTTTTTTTCAGCATAATGAATGACCAATTCGTTTCCCAGACCACAGAATTCATGACATAAACAGGCATAATCGTGTCTGAGAGATCCTCCTGGGTAGTTGTATGGTCTCCTACCTCTAAAGAGGGTGGTGGGGAGAGTAATTGTCTCCAGTGTTGCAAGAATGCTTAGCTAAGCAAGCCAGGTTATGAGGTTGTGCAATAGAGGAGATTGGCCAGGGCAAAGGGTGGGGTGGAGGGAAGCATGCATTGATTAGATTAGTGTTTCTGAGTGCTGACTCTGGGAATATGATTGGGGGGGGCAGAAATTCCTGCCTATCATACCTACATGCATACCTACATTATTCCGCTTCAGGGTAAGCAATATGCAGAGTGCAGAAAAGGAACAAAATAGTAAGCCAAGGAAATTAAAGGCATAAGATAAGGAATGAAAACTTAGCTAAAACTAGCTTACACAGCCACTGTTCTCTGCACCTCTGCATATCATTCTGTACTTTCCACCACAAACTGGTGGGTTGCAGGGAACAGTGTATTGGTTTACCACATAGTCTCTTGTTTAGGGATTCTAGTTTGCATAAAGTAGCATGAATGTGCTTGATGTAAAACTAGGGTCTGGCTTTGTTTGTGGTCAAATGTGTCCAAACTGAGCCGTGTTGTTAGCTGGAAGTATGTGGCGTGCATATGACTAAGGGTGATGACCTAGTCTATGCCTTCTCTGAAAAGCATCATCTGAAAGCATTTCCTTCCAGTTCGGGTCCAATAAAAGAACATTTCTATTATTTGTTAGAGTTACATCCTTCCTGTCTTCTAAGAGGTCAAGGTGGCACACGTAGCTCTATAGAGCCCCATAAAGTAGATTACACTGAGACCAATTTGGTTATTCATTGAGCTTCCCTAGGTGAGTGCAGGCTTGGATCAGTCCAATCCTAAACTTAATCCCCGCATCGTTGGCAACAGATGGAAAAACAGAAAAGGTCCCTATTTCTACCAGTGCTGACAGTTCTGTATGGAAAAGGCTCTTAGAGGAAAAAAAACAGCATTAGAAGGTCAAGAGGAAATGTTGTCATTACACAGTAGGGAAACTCCACAATTTCATTGCTATGATCCGAGTTTAGTTTTGATTTGCAAAACAGGATTTTGCAAACCCTGGGAGTTTCTACAACACCCCTGCATTTCAAACCCTTGAGAGGCAAAGGTAAACACAAGGGTAGTTGGAAGAATTTCAGAATCAGTCTTCGCAGCCTAGTGCTTTCTAGATATGCTCGGGCTGCAGCGCTCAGAATTCCTTTGGCCTTTGCTGGGAGGAATTCTTGCAGTTTTCGGTTGCGGGAAAGCTGGTGTAAGCAGATTTGCCTTCAAATATCCTTTAGTTCGAGGTCACGAGGAGCGGGGCTACCAGGAGAGATGCGAGGCCTAGAACTCCCTTCCTCAGCCTTTCTCTCCTGACGCCTTGGAAGATGTGGCAAGGCTGCCCATGGAATTCTGGGAGTTGTAGCCCCCCAAAGAATCTGCAGAGCCCCAAGTTGAGAAAAGCTTGAATATTTTTTTCAGGACAGCTGGAGATCCTGCTAATTCTGATTCAGTTTTACTTCCTTTTTTCTCCCCCCTCCACCCATCCAAATGGGAGCCATGTGATGGGCTCAGTGTTAGGCCTGCAGTCAAAGCCAGACCATGCCATGTGGCAGTGACTCATTTCCCTTAATTTCATGTTCAGAAGGGGAAGGAGCTAGAAGATGTTTCCTCCAGTTGGAAGGGACCACGAAGGCTAAACTTCAATGGGAAACTCCTGTACTGCTGTGGTCTTGACCGCTGTGGGACCTCCTGATGGATAAAAGCGCTACGTTTCCACTGATCAATTATTTAGCAAAATGTTTATTATCACCCACTGGCAACACCTGTGGGCAGTTTACTAAACAAAAACATCACCATCAAATCGAAACGTTGGTACCTTCCCTCCCCCCCCAATTAAAATGATATCAGAATAATTCTAGATAAGCCATTTGGCCACCATTGGATTAATAATTGAATGCCTACTTAAAAAAAGTTTGGGGCCCTTTCTGCTGCCATTAGGGACAGGTCCAAATGCTTTCTGCGGTCAGCATATTCCGCCACGCTGCGGCTGCCTGCCTTCTGCATCGTACTCCCCTTTTCCTCTGTTGCCTGTTCTTTTTCTTTTTTAAAAATTTAGCTAATTAAAAAAAAAAGCGCAAAACAGAACGGGACCCTAACCAAGTCCTCTCTAAATGGCTTTGCAGGGCTGGTGGAATAATTTTAAATCAGGCAGTCTCTCTTTTATTCTCACGGCTAAAGGTGCCCTCTTCCTTGAGTCTTGTTTCATAAGACTCAGATCATCCTTGGTCTTTCTGAACCTGCTTCCCTGGCTCTGGATTTGTCTTAAAGTCTGGTGCCAAGAATTGGTCTCAGGACATACAACAGGGGTAACCAAGGCAGATCTTAACAAGCATTGGTGCTGACTTTAGCAGCCTCCTTACAACACCGAGGTTGGGATAGGAAGAGATTCCCCTCAACCTTCCCAAGGTCGCTCAGCAATTCCAGAGGTTGATCTTGTGCAAATTTAGAATGGCTTTTGGAAACTCTAGTTTGCATTGTTAGCTGTCCAGCCCCCTTGCTGCTGATGCTCCAAGATGGGAGAGGAGGAGGGGGAAATGTGATTATCCTTGAGAAAAGAGCCATGAAGGTTGAACAGGCAGAAGTTGTCGGAGAGACTGCCAGGGAGCTGAAGGCAGTAATGTCGGATTCATGGCGGACGGAGTATTTTTGGCAAGCTGGCCATGGGTGGGTTTGTTTGCTTTGTTTTTCTTTGGGGGGGGGTGTTTTGGTGTGAAGGATGCATTTTAAAATTGCACTTCGGTCCCAGAATATTTGGGGTGCCTGTTTAGCCCAGAACTGAGTATTTGGGCTTGGCGATTGGACTTAGTACTGAAGGAATTCTGTTCTTTTGTGATTGATTTTACTATGCACTTTTCTAGCTCTCAGGAATATGAAAATAGGGCAGGATGTCATGGCAAACTGGGATTCTTTAGTGCTTTGGCGTAGGGGCTATCTGTGACTTTGTGGGTCACGAGAAAGATGCAAATGAAATCCTGTGTCGGCTTTGGAACAAATTTGTTATGGGTGTTATCATCTTTATTTCCTTTCATAAATGGGGTGTTTTTTCCCCCTCTTCCTGCAGGACCAGGCTGGCCTCTCTCTTCGGCATGGACCAGACAGTGTCCGGTACCGGGAATGAGTTTTTCCAATATACAGCCCCCAAACAGCCTAAGAAAAGCCTGCCAGCCACAGGTGAGTAACCGCTGGCCCAAACCCAGAATGCTTGTGCCCAATCTGCAGCTTTTTCCAGTGGGAAATGAAATGGCTCCCTCCAGTGTGTCTGGCTGGGATAAGAGATCTGGAGATGCTTGGCTAGAGAAGGGGTCCTCAACATGACCCCCCAAGGAAGAGGCCCAGGAAGAGTCAGGAACCCTGGTGCCTAAATCCTGTATGTCAGAGGTTCAAATTTAGCACCTGAGAAAGGCCACCCACCACCAGGCTGAACGTGAGTCACTTTCAAACGTCTTTACCCCCTCCTGAGGGTCCCAACCCACATTGTCAAAACACCTGCCTTAGTGTTTCAGTGCCCAGATACCTTATGTGTTTGTGTGTGTGACAGAGCAAGCTAAGATTTATTTCCTCCAAATAATAAGGAATTCTCAAATGCAGTCACTCATCTCTAGGGATAGCTAGTGCTTTTCTCCAGCTAACGTTACGATTTAAGGTTTTATTTAGGGGCCCATCCTTACCCCACTGTTAGAGCCACTGGCTTGGGCCTCCCGATGTTTTGACTTGCATGCCAGTGCTAAATGTGCAACAAAACGTTTTCCTTGTGTGCTGCTTCAGGTGCAGGCCCTCCGACACAGAAGCCTCCTCCGCCTGGGGGAGCGCCCTCCGTCTTTGTAGCCACAGCCGTTCATGCCTATCGTTTGTAAGTACTTTATTTGCTGGAAGCGCTCCTTCCTTGTAAGGACAATTCACCCTTATGCGGTGTGTGCATTTTCTGTGAGTTGTTGTTCCTGCCCAGATTTTTCACGAGGACTTAAACCAGAATAAGAGTTCAGAATTTTAAATAGAGTGGATGTTTTAGGGGAAAGCAGGGAGACTTGATCTATGCAGGCCTGCTTCTGTAGACCCTTGTTGGGACAGCAAGGCTGAGAATATTTGATTATGAGTTATACCGAGGTTATATTTCTGGGGTATTTGTTGTTAGCAGAGATTTAATCAACTGGGCAAGACCTTCAGCACGAAGGACAGCTTGCAAATTCTCTAATCCCCTGCAGGAAGTTACAGTTAACTTGGTGCTCTCTGAGCTTGGCTGTTGGCTTGCAGACATTGCATTACCCAACTAGGTAACAGCAGCCAGCGGCCTCTCCAGCAGCCAACATCCAGATAAGCAGGGATTAACCCCAGACAAATAATCAAGCAGAAAACAATACCCTAATCAAGGAACTACCAAGGAGAAAACCAGACTCCCACCAACACTGGCAGGGCAAGCTACTGTATGTAAACAGGCAGCAAACCCCACCTTCCCTTGCACTGATGATGTTACCTAGCTGGGTAATGCGACGTCTGCAAGCCAACAGCCAAGCTCAGGGAGCACCAAAGACTCCACGGTTCAATCCTGAGCTACAGAGATTCTCTTCTGTTGGAGCTACAGTGAAGTTAGTGGGAGGGACGGATATATCTCAGATTAAAAGTACAAGAAGCTGAAAGACCCTTCCTCCCTTGTTCCAGTACAAACGGGAGTTACGTGAAACAAGGCAAATACGGAGCAGCCGTGGTGGGGTGCCATGCAACCCAGGAGGTAAGCAGTGGGACTCTGTGTGGGAGTAACACTTCCCTTTGTGTCCTGGTTTCTAGGCCACCTTGTGTTGAAAAAACTCAGACGCCCACGGCCCACCCTTTCTAGCTGAAAGAGCTAAAGCAGAGGATAATGTGGCTTTGTCTCCTCAATCCTGACTTTCTATAGTAGTGCCCACCTTGGCTTGAACATGAAGGATTCTTCTCCAGAAAGCTTTCGCTGAGTACCTTCCTGGTACCAGTATGCGTTTACAATTGCTTATTCCCCTCTTTTGATTAGAAACTTAATCCTAAACCTGTTGATTCTTGACTGTAGTGACTGCTAACAAGTCAGTTATCTGCAGAGTGCAGGCAAAAATAGGAACAGGTCGTCGTGGAGAAAATCTATGTGGCTGACACCAATTGGATGGTGCATAATCAGTCAATGGGCGAAAAAGTCAAGATGACAACCGCTGCTGTGCAATTGAAATTCCACCTTTATGTGTGTTATACTTTGTATCTTGACTTTTTGACTATACTGTGTGGATATCCATGCAGCTACATGTTAAAGCTACTGACCTGCTTGGCTTAACCCTAGTTTATCGAGTAAGTCACGGATGGCTGAGTAAGGTAGAGCCATGCTTTAAACTTAAGGGATTGGTTTTACATAATGCTTTAAACCCAAATTAAAGAAAACCTGTTTCATGTGAATTCCGTCATTACGTCAGCCGAGGATGGCTCTGAACATCTCTGGTTTTTCTCTTCTTCCTCTTGTCCATGGCTTATGGAATCCAGTACAGAATCCTACTTTATATAAACCAGCAGCAGCAAATCACCAGCGCTAGGATCCATCCAGGGTTCATATTCACGGTAAGCCTCGGTGGTTAGACGTTGGAAGAAGCTTGACATTGATCTGAAAGCGTGTAATGAAGGCCTGGATTTATTAATGGGAAATATTAAGTAACTATTATGCATACAGCAAGTCCTAATTTAAATGGGGGTCCTCCAGTTCTTAAGGAAATGAGGATGAAGCTGGTTTTGATTTTGGTTTTAAATGAGGATTTCAGTTCCATTTCCAGACTTACAAAAATTAAATGCAAGTGATGGAAACAAAGTGGGTTTTTTGTAGTAAGTATGTATGTATGTATGTATGTATGTTGATTGTTACTGTTGGGTTATACACAATGTTGCCATCAGTTGTTTTATAAACATTTTCTCTAGCGTTATTTTTTATATCCTGTGATTTTTCAGTTCCTAAAACTGGGCTTTTTGTGGGTTTTAGTGCACAACGAGGAGCTTTCTATTCTCTAAATGTCTGGCTTGGATTTTTTCCTCCCATCCTGTTAACATTCTCCAAACTATCTGCTTTTTGAAAGCAGTTAGCCCTGCTTATAAGTAGTTGAAATGATATAAAAAATGCATTTTACCATCTTGAACTGACGTTCATTCTTTTTATTATCTAGGTCCAACCCAACAACTATAGTACATTTTACGATGATCAGAGGCAGAACTGGTCCATCATGTTCGAATCGGAAAAAGCCACAGTGGATTTCAGCAAGCAGGTGCCAGAGTTGTGCCCGATGCCAGCCCTACCGTTGGACAAAACGAAACAGCTGTTCTGAGTGGCCACACCGCCCTTCTTAATCCGTCCTTGTTCCATGCCTTCCTTCCTTTTAGCTTTAAGCTTCGTTTCTCCTGATTGCAGCAAATGCAGCATGTATTCCCAGCAATATGAAGGCAACACAACATTTTAAGAAGCGTTGACAACGTATTAAACGTATTGGTTTTCAGATCAATATACCCCATTCTCGCCCCAGTCTTAATGTCTTCCTCAGAATACCTGTGTTGCTTCCCTTGGAACTGCCCACCCCTACTCACAAGTTTATTTACAATGGTTTTCTACTGTTCTTTTTTAATTAACGCAAACCGCTTTGGGTTGGTTTGTTCTCTCGTAGGTCTGCATTGCCAAGTACAACAGTAGCCCTTCCCCTGATTCGGTGGTGTGCCAGGATCTGATCAGCGGAGAGGGCCAAGGCGTGGAAGTCGGAGACGCCATCGAAGTGGCCTTTACCAGCTGGCTCTTCCAGAACAATGCGCTGGGGCAGGTGAAACCCGGGGGAAGGATGCTCTCCACCCTCAGGAGCTTGGGTTGTTTCCATTTTGCAGGATCGCTGTCCGTGTGATGCGGCGTTCCGTCCCTTTTCACAGCCTGCCTGCGTTTTATTCTCACAGGTGTTTGACTCCAACACGAACAAGGATAAACTCCTCCGCTTGAAGCTGGGCTTGGGCAAAGTCATCAAGGTAAATACGCAGCCCTGTTTTGCGGGGCTCAAAGGGGGGGTTGGTTTTTTTAACTTCTTGCCTTCCATCTCAGCTGGGTGGCTTAGCAGCTTTTGCTGAATAAGTGAGAAGGCCGGGAGGTCTTGGATCTCAGATCCTCTGTTTGTAGTCAAACAGGATCCTCTCAAATTTGGGGGGGGGGGGGAGAATGATATCCTCAGGGAAATGGCTCTATGCTTGCTGGCGCTTGCTAAAGGGAAGGAAGAATGGAAACCTCATAGGTTTCCATTCACACAGTGCCCTAATTCAGGAGTTTTCAAGCTTTCTTCAGGCTATGGAAGCTTTGAGTTTAGTTTTAAAAAAATTCCCAGATGTCACGATCAAGAGAGAAACACTTAATTAACGTCAGCCTCTTGGAAGTATCATATAGGAAGTTTGTTTTTGGCATATCTTAACTAATTAATATTTATCTGTTTTAATCAACGTTTATTCTGCTTTTACTGTAAACCGCCCGGAGTCACTCTGTGGTGAGATGGGCGGTGACAAATTGGAAATGTAAATAAATAAAAATAAATCAGTAAAAATTTAGTGGTAAAAAACTGGTTTTATCCAGCTGAATTCAGTTTGAAAACCTGCCCTGGGCTGAGCCTCCAGCAGATTCCCCTTTAGAGAAATGGCTCTGAACAAGGGGGGAAAAAACACCTCCATATAATTGAAAGCTCTTTTTTCAGGCTTTGGGGTTCTAAGGTGTTAGAAATTGAGTTCATCTCAGGCTGTTTTCTGTCTGGCCTCCTGTTTTATCCCCAAAGGGCTTGGAAGAAGGAATGCTTGGTCTGAAGAAGGGAAGCAAACGCTTCCTGCTTGTCCCTCCCGCCCTTGCTTATGGGTCTCAGGGAGTCGCGAATCGTGTTCCTCCGGACTCGACGCTGGCCTTCGAGGTGGACGTCAAGAGGGTAAGCTGTTCTGTTTTGTTAGGGGGCGCTCCGGGGCCAGCTCTCGCCTGTCTCACGCTTCCGTCTTTCTTAGGTGAGGTTGGCAAAGGACGCTGCTTCCAACGGGCAGAACGTGGCCCCCAGGGACTCCCTCGCACCTTCCCCAGGACCAAACACTGAACATCTCGGTATGGACCCTGCAGGGCTGCCTCCCAGTACTCTCCCTCCGAAGCCTGGGTGAGATACCAGTTTGATTTCCACGTTTTTCTCTCGCTTTGCCTTTTCAGTGGCCTTGCTGCTGGATTCAGCAAAATGAACTATTCTCCGGTCAAAGGAAAAGTTGATTGGGCTTTTTTTCCATGTCAAAAGGAGACTGCAAACTAATTGAGAAATTACATTGCCCATCTCTTAAGCTATTGGTTAAGATTGGGAGGGACTATAGAACCCTTTAGTATCAGAATTAGTATTTTTATTTGATATATGCTTATTTCTAAGCGTAGTACAAAATTGCTTCATGTCATGAATTGACCTCTTTCCTTTCTCCATTACAACTTCAACCCTCCCTTTATTTTGAACTGTGTTTTTTTTAGCTTGCTACAAATTATGGTTTTTATAGCCCCTTTTGCTTTCCTGGGTGGGGTGGCATTCATGCCTGGGGGAGGAAAAGTATCTTCTTGACTCCTCAACCCTAATGAGGCTTAGCAAGACGGTCTTTGGGTTCACATGTTCCTCTATCCTATGCTTGGTTTCAGTTGTGATGGAATGAACCGGTCATGTGGTTCGTGACATCAAGTTAAACTGTAACATTTATGACCATAAACCTTGGTGGAGTTCCTACACTGCTCTGCACTTAGGGTGAACCAAACGAGTCAGTTTTTGGGTAAATGCACCATGTTAATGTTTTTGTTGACCAGTGTTTGACTGTTTGACAAAGAATCAGGGATGCTAGTAATGCTTTATATTTAATCAGGTGGTGTTGAATGCCATGGGCTTTTAGATCTTTAGAACAGGCCTTCTGCACTGTCCACTGCTCTAAATTTCTACTTTCTACGCCACAGGGAGCCAGCTGTGCGGGCCAAATCCAACTCTATCAGTGAACAGCTAGCGGTAAGTCTTTGGCTCACCCCGATCGGCTTACTTTCTTTAGGTTTTGATTTCAGGGTTGCATCTCAACCCTGTTCATCTAAACTGAAATTCCTTAGTGATCTTGCTGGCTACCGCTTTCTGTAAATGTGAGCTGGTCGTTGGGACTGATTCATTTCCCACCTAACAGAGGGACTCAGTGCTGCCCAGGTGTCTGTTTTTGAATGTTGAAAGACAAGGTCCCTGCCATCTGATTTTTACAGGCTGAGCTTAGCAAATCGGGACGTTTTATCTTGTACCTTTCTCTCTTTCTCTTTTTTGCTCCGTCCGCTATGTCAGAACCCCGATGTGGCGAAAGCAAAGCTGATTTCACGAATGGCAAAGATGGGGCAACCTATGTTGCCTTTCCTTCCGGGCTCCAGTCCCGCCCAGCTGGACTCAAGTGACTCGGAGATCGAGGTGGGTTGGCTTCGGAGCTATTTTGGGAGGAAGGGGGGAATCTCAATGGCTCGCATTGCTTCAAAATTGGTCTGAGGTCTGAGCAATCATTCAAAGGATTCTTCTTCCCAGTGATTTCCTTAGACTATTGGGATGAACTGTGTTTTTAATACTAGGTATTTTATCTCTATTGTAAGCCTCCCAGAGTCTTTCCTCTCTGTCAATGAGGGAAGTCCCATTTATTCTGGGCTGCCTTTGGAATGGCATATTAAAGGAGAAATGTGGGATTAATCAGGTTAACTAAATCAGTTTAGGATGGCGGGGGGAACTAACACGAAGCATCCCCTGTGGGTGTGTGTTTCAGGACCCAAACACCTTGCGAGAAGCTGCTCATCCCGTCACATCGTCTCCCCTGAAACCATCTCCCCCCGCTATTCTTCCTCAGATAACAGCCCAAGGTACGAGAATCTACATACTCCGAATCTGCACTTTATTCCTGGTTTTTTCTTATGGCGGTGAAGAAATTAATGCCCCCCCCCCCCCCGCTCTTTCCCCAATTGTTTTCAGATTATGTTACCGTATTGTCAGCAGGCTTCTCAAAAATCCCCATACAGAATCAAGGATGGCTAGAAACTTGATTGAAGAATATAAAAAATCTTGCCCCCATCTGTGCATTCTGTGCTGCTGCAGAATTGCTTTGGGGGGCGCATATTTGGCAACCGCATTACTGGCGTTGGCTTCACCCACAGCACTGAACGTCGGCTTAGGTTCTGGATACCGCAAAGATCAGACCTGGGCTCTAGCACCTATCCAGAAATCACCTTCAGGATCATTCTTTCTAGTTGATTCTGATTTCTGCAGATTTAGGCCTATCGGGCTCCTGCGCTGACTGTACCTTTCTGAAGTGCATGGCTATTCACAGTCCGATGCAGTGTTAAGGTCTCCGTTTTCTTTCTCCAGTGCCCCAGGCGTCTGTTCCTGGACTCCAGGTGTCCTCAGCCGCTGTGATGCCTGCAGCCCTGCACCCGCATCCAGCTCTTCCTGGGGCTGCTCAGAGCCTTCAGGTACAGATGTGAATGAGTGTTGGGTCCTCTTATTCCTATATAGTTCACCTTCGTTGCTGCGAAAGTTGCTTCTCAGCTTGATCCGAGGGATAGCAGCTAAAGCAATGAACAGATGGAGAAGGGTTTTTATGCCCAGAAGGGGCCTCCTCCTGTCTGCACTGAAAAAGCAGGAGAAGATGGTCCAGAATCTTGCCGCCTTTGATTGCCTATATATAGACATCTCATTGGAAAATGGACTCCTTGCTGGAATTCTTGTGTTGAACCTTAGCGCTCCTTCTGATCAATACTGGTGATCAAAGCTCTTAGATTCTTCTTTCTTGGGCTAATGATTCGCACTCTGGCATTTAAAGAGGGAAGTCTTAGGGCTAAATGGTCTGTGTAGGCTCGTGCCACACTTTCTCTTCCAGTTCCTCCCCTGTAAATTGAGCTCCTGTATCTTACTAGGTGGCTAATTCTGCAGGCTGCTGCAAATTCCCATACAGAATCAAGGTTGGCTTCAAATCAAAGTCTAACGTAAATGAAAATTGCTTGCCGGCCTTAACAGTGGCTGGTCCTTTGGCCGAATGGACAGCTTGGGCCCTAGACTGGGCCTCAAATCCTGCAGGTTGGGAAAACAGAGTAAAATGTTTCAGCTATTTAATGGAGGTTGTTAGGAGTAGACAAAACATTTCGAGGTTGACCCATTCTGACAGGCTGTTCCAAGTCTGCCAGATGTGGCCCAGCCTTATGGGCCATTCTGAGTTCTTTTTCAAGGGTGGGCTGCTTCTGTTGCTGTTAGTATATTCAAGCTGGGTCATTGAGAAGTTCTTCAGGTATGTGGATGGCCATTTCCAGTATACTTGGAATGGCCTGTTGTGAGATTGGATTTCTTTTGGGTCATTCAGGAAGGCCTCTTTGAAGGTTGAAGCACTTCCAGGCTTCTTAGAGGGCCCTGTTATGACCTCCCAAAGCTCTGCAAACCTCTGAAGATTACACACATGTGCGCACATGTTGCTGATAGAATAACTGTTGAAACTCTTCAAACCTGGATTGCTCAGTTGCCTCCCTTTTCTTTCTGCCTTACCCTCACCTTTTTAGGCGTTTACAGGGATGAACTATGCCTACCCACAAGGCCCTGCAGCAGCTTCCCAGCTCCAGCCTCTTGGGGCCATCTATCCTGCTCCTTTCCAAGGTAGGCCTGAGCCTGCTTTTCCAGTAGTACTCTTTGTGGCTACACTGATGTGGAATGCTAAACCAGGATTAGGCAGAACAGCTAACCCCAAGCGAGATCTGGGTTGCTCCTACTAGTGCTGTGCTTATCTGCAGGAGGACACCTGAAAAAGCTTGCTCAGATCTAAATTTGGACAACATAGCTTGCTACTGTTAGAACTGTCGAGTCTGGAGGAGACGCTTGTTGACTCTGTATCAGAAATTTCCAAGTTCAGACTTGGCCTGTGTTTTGACCCAGTCCCTAAAACATTAGCTGTACTGCTGTCCTACTTAATAGAATTATAAGGATTCCTGAGATGATGCTAATGAGGGTGCTTTAAGGTGTGGCCTTCGAGGAATAATCCTTTTGGGGGGAATTGTTGGTAGGAATCGGGGTACCTAGATCTTAGGTTCTGGAGAACTTCCTCTCTTCCCATTGCCTTATGCAAGCTCCACGTCACTGGTCATTAAAGCTGGAAAGAAACATCTTAGAAGAAGCCCAGCCTCTAGACCCAGTATCTCCCTTTTGTTTCCCAATTGCCAACATTTTTATTTATTTTTATTTAAACAATTAAGAACTGATTGAGGCTCCTTCTTTGCCTTCAGAACAGTTCTCTCTGTTTGCTAGTCTGGTCCTGATGTTTTCAGGTGCTCTCTCTTTCAAAAACCCGTGTTCTTTGTTTCCTTCCAAAGCAGCTGGTGATATTGGATCTTTCTTAATGACGGAAGCAAGGCAACATAACACCGAAATCCGGCTGTCTGTGGGCAAAGTGGCTGACAAAATAGACCAGCTAACAACCAAGGTACAGCGGAACCTCGAGTTACGAATTTAATCTGTTCCGTGACTCTGGTTGCAACTCGAATTGGTCGCAACACGAGGCAAATTTTCCCATAAGGTTCAATGTAATTACCGTTCATCCGTTCTGGCGGGGAGGACAGGGAGGCGGTTATT